TTTACCATTCTGGCATGCCCAAATGCTGGCAAACTCTGGGCCAGAGACCTCCAGTTCATCTGGCAAGTCCGCTCTGCCAACACCCACTTGGGGTGAAAAGAAAGCCACAAGCATCCAGAGTGCTCCATACCTGCCTCTCCTGGTTTAGTTACAAAGTTTGTATACATTGTTTTTCACACTGGATCTTTCTCATTTTCTTTACCCACCCCTCAAATTGTGTGACCCTATGATTAACCTCACCCCTCATGCTGTAGTTCCTCCCCACCCCCAAACCTCATACACGTTCTAAAATAATGGTCTTATACAGTATTTGTCCTAATGGGACTGAGTTCACTTAGCATAATGCTCTCCAGTCTTTGCCAAGTTGTAATCTACAAAATCAAAGCTCCTGCATGCTGCATAGTATTTATTCCATCACATGAATGTATGTTCTTACTATGGTGAATAACACTATTGAACATTGGTGTAAAAGGCTCTGTTTGTGCCTCAGTTTTCATTTTCTCAGTGTATACTACAAGCAGTGGAATAGCTGGGTTATATGGAATTTTTTATGTTCAACTCTTTCAGGACACTGTCTTCCAGAATGATTGTACCATTTTACAATGCCACCAACAATGTATAAAGAGTTCCTATTTCACCACATCTTCTCTAATATTTATCACTCACCGTCCTGTTAAACTTTGCCACTCCTTCTGGAATATGATAGTATCTCATTGTGGTTTTGATCTGCATCTCTCTTATATAAGGTCAGTGATTTTGAGCATTTCTTCAAGTGTCCATTGGCCATGAGTGTCTTCGTCTGTGAAAATTCTTTCCATATCTTTTGCCTATTTTGTAATTGTGTGATCAGTCTTTTTCCTGTGGAGACACTGAAGGATTCTGTAAACTTTTGATATGAGGCCCTCGTCTGAAATGGCATTGCTAATTGGTTTTTCCCAGTCAGTAGGTTTTATTTTCACTCTGTTGGAAGAAGTTCAATTGATTACTATTTTCCTTTTGAACATTGTATTTATAGGGTTATTTTTGATTGGATGACATATTGTGAATTTTACCTTGCTGGGAGCGATGCACACTTTGTAGTCTATAAATGTTCTTGAGTTTTGTCTTGAGACTAGTTACTTGGAAATAGTTAAAATTCTGGGTTTTGCTTCCTCCCCCGCCCCTTTCCCCCCATCTCAGTCAGGCAGGGCCAGGGCAATATTTAGAGGTAACTAGTTCCTACTTGACTGCATGTTTGATCTATTTCTTATTTAGCTACCTGACTGGAAGAGATCCATATTTATTTCCATTCCAAAAAGAGATGATCCAAAAGAGTGTGGACATTATTGAACATTATATCACTGATAACACATGCCGGCAAAAATCTTGCTGAAGATCATCCAAACCTGACAGAAATAATACATCAACAGAGAACTACCAGAAATATAAGCTGGATTTAGAAGAGCAATAGGGACATACAGTCAACATCAGATGGATCTTGGTTGAAAGCAGAGAGTACCAGAGGAATGTCTATCTATGTTTTACTGACTATGCAAAGGCATTTGACTGAGGGAGTCACAACAATTTGTAGCTAACACTGAGATGAATGGGAATCCCAGAACACTTAATTATGCTCATCTGAACAGGAAACAGTTGTCAGAATAGAGCAAAAAACACCACATGGTTCAGATCCAGGAAAGGAGTGCATCACGGATGTATCCTGCCTTCATACATTTTCAATCTATATGTGGAACAGGTAATTCAGGAGGGTGGACTTTATGAGGAAGAATGTGACATCAGAATTGGAGGCAAACTCATCAACAATCTGCGTTATGCAGATGACACAACCTTGTTTGCTGAGACTGAGAAGGACCTGAAGCATTTGATGCAGGAGGATTATAGTCTTCAACATGGATTGAAGCTCAACTTCAAGAAAACATATTCTCACCACTTGGCCAATTGACAGCATCATGATAGATGGAGAAGAGAATGAGGTTGTTAACAATTTCAACTTTCTTGGTTCCACAATCAACATTCTTTGAACTTGCAGTCAGGAAATCAAAAGACAAATTGCACTAGGAAGAGTGCTATCAGGGACCTCTCCAGAGTGCTGAAGAGCAAGGATGTCATTCTGGAGACTAAGGTGCACCTGATCCTGGCTATGGTCTTCACAATTACTTGCTATACATTAGAGAGCTGAACAATGAATAAGGATGACCATTAGAATTGATACCTTTAAGTTGTGGTGCTGGAAAAGAGTACTGAACATACCATGGCCTGCCAAGAGAACAAACAGGTTTCTCTTGGAGAGGGTGAAACCAAGTTACTCCTTGGAGGCACAGATTTTGAAACTGTCTTACATACTTTGGGCATGTTACCAAGAAGGACAAGTCCTTGGAGAAGGACATCATGCTCGGAGGAGTGGAGGGATGGCATAGAAGAGGAAGATTCTGAATGAGACGGATTGATACTGTAATTGGGATAATGGAGGCAGGAGTGTCTGAGACAGTGAGATTAATCAGGATAGGGCAGGGTTCCAAGCTATTGTGCATAGGGTTGATAAAAGTCACAAGCGACTCAACAGCACATAACAACCACCTAGCTCCTATAGAGAGCTCTGGTGGCATAGTGGTAAGAAGGTGCACTGCAATCGTGAAGGCTAACAGCTGTTCTGCAGGAGATACATGGGCAATTTCCTCCGGTGCAATTAACTGCTTCTGAAAACCTGATGGGAGGATGAGCTACATATGTGTTGGCTCTGACTCAACAGTACATAACAACAACAGTTCCGAATAGGGAAGCTCTGGTGGCCTGGTGGCTAAGGAGTTGCACTGCCAATCCAAAGACATGCAGTTCAAATCCACCAGCTGCTCTGTGGGACAAAGATGGAAAATCTCCTTCCATGTGATTAAATGCATTTGAAAATCCATTGAGGGGTTAGTTATGATTTGGTTCCAACTTGATGGTAAACAACAACATTTACGACTACTGAGTGTCTATAAAACCAATGCTGGTATTGTGGGGTTGCAATGTCCAACCTTCACTAGTGGCACAAGAAGGAAGATACACAGCATCACCTGATTACTATGAGGTCTGACATGCCCTCCTGCTCCTGTCAAACCCAAGACCTACCGACTGCCCCTCTTACACTCCTATTGTTCAATGCTGGGTCTGTTAACCTGCCACAATGACCACACATGACTCAAAGACAATACTCATAATTATGGGATTTATTTGGGGCATAACAGGTTAAAATTCAGGTTGGAAATAGCCAGGATACAATTCTTAAGTCATGACAACTTCTCAAGTATGATTGGAGGCTCTCAGACTTGAAGTCTTGTGATTCCGGGCCAGTGTTTCAAAGTGATTTTCAGTCCTCTTAATTATTGTGTCACCTCCCCCAACCCACCCAGATTTCCAGTGAGGGTAAGCCAATGTTCTTGGGGAGGAAGTTCCAGTTCAGCTCTGCCTCATGTTGATCTCTAGTTCTCCACTTGAGCTGCTGCTGCTGTTCTGGTCTAGGTCTTGGTCTGTCAACTGTAGAATTCTCTGGTCCAAATGAGGAAGGCGGAGCAAGAAGACCAGGGAAGCCAACACACATTCTCTGCTTTCTTGATGGTAGCTAGACTTCCAGTGAAGCTGCCCAATCACTTAGTTAACTGTCTGCACAACCTACTGATATGTCCCCATCCAAAAGGTGCTATTGACCTCATTCATATTATTAGCATAATCCTACCTAGCCATGTGGTGAAAGTCAAAGGCAATGGCTAAGAAAGCTATTTTGAACAACTGACTTACCACATCACAGCATCCTACTCATGAATTAAGTTTCATGAATTAAAAGGTTCTGTATTTTGGCTTTATGAGGTTCAGTGAGTATTCCTTCTAGCAGCTGTAAGTGGCCTCAAGTAGTTTCTCTACATGTATATGCTGGACTTTGCAGCTCTTTCTGTACAATTCACCCTTCTCCAGGCTCTGAACTGCAAACCCTGCTCATTGTGGCCTCTTTGTTCTTCCTAGCTCTGACTTTTCCATCAAAGAGAAATCACTAGGAAATTCCCTTAAAGCAGAAATCATAACTTTCCTTTCCTCTGCTTCCTCTCAGAGATAATGGTCCTTCCTCAACACTGTTACTCAAAGTCTTCAAAACTCTTGTTTTTCTCCCATGGTTTCAAGGTACAGGGTAAATCTGATCCCTGTTACTCCATTTTAGATGGAAATGGAAGTCTGATATGCAAGAGGGAAATCTGAATCCTATATTAGGAAGCTCTCCAAACACTCTCTCACCTAATGATTTGTCTTTTTTTATCGTTCATATTTATGCCCATTCTTCCCATCTCCAACTTCTCCTACCCTATCTTAATCATGCGACCTATACTTTCTATTTCATACATGCTGTACTGTGAACAGCAGCCTCTGAAAGGTTCTTCCTGATTGTACGATTCAATGTAGTCCACATATTTCTATTAAGATACAGATTCCCTCCCATCCCCTGCTTTCCACTGCTTTTTGCTTTCTTACCTAAAGCTTGAGAAAGTCCATGAACAACACTAGTTGCTAATCCAAAAGGTTAGTGGCTTAAATCCACCTAGAGGTGTGTCTTGGAACAAAGAGATGATCAGTTTCTGAAAAACTGGCCATTGAAAATCCCAAGAAACATAGTTCCACTTGAATACACATAGGGTTGTTGTAACTTGGCAATGACTAAACCGTAACGGATTATTATTTTTTAAAAATTTTAAAACCTGATGTACCCTGGCATTTAATAAATTTGTGAGATTGATGCATGACTACTCTTTAATAAAGTAGTCTGGGTAACATAGTGGCTTACGTTCTACTACATGAAAGGTTGCTAATTCAAAACTCCTCAGGGTTATTACATCAATTACTATTTAAACAGAAGCCTGGGAAATCTTGGTAACACATAGGTAACAAACGTAGCCTGCTATCAAGCATACTGTAAAATGACTCTTAAAAATTATGTTGTCATAAACACATAAAACAGAAAAATCTAAAGGTATGTCATATTCCTTTCCATAAACACAAGTTATTACGATTTTAAAATTTGATAAATATCAGTTTCTAACTTGGAAAAGACATGATTGAGCAATATCTTTCTCCATTTACTTATCTATGAAATATTTAAAGAACAAGAATTTCTGGAAAGGGATTTTCTTTCCTGTCTAATCGACATCTTAAGAATCTATATGGCTTCACTCCTTGTCAATTGAATTTGGAATACATGTAATAAACTTCCCAGAACACTTTAACATTAGAAAACAGGTGATTCACATTCTGATAAAGAGCAAAAGACAAGTGCTTTATTATGAGAACTGTTCAAGTAAAATTTCAGTGTGCACCAGTGGAAGTGAATAAAGATTTGCATCAATTTTTTTTTTTAATGAACACTAGGTTAAAAAGGAGCTACACAGTTGTTTTTTTGTTTTCCCAAACACCATCTTTGCTAAGGCAAAAAATACATTTCATTTTAGAACAGAACTGTTACAGAAGCTACATCACAGTACAGTACAGAATGTAAAATTCATCCTAGTCTGAAGCCATCATGGAATGGCACATCACCTACGCTTATAGCTTCCTAATGTAGGTTAAAAGTACAGTATTTATCACAGCTTTATTTTTCTTTAAACTGATAAAGTGAATACACTTTCTATTCTCAGGAGTGTGCAGATGGGTCCCATATGCTGATATTACAATAATTACAACATTAAATAACATTGCACAGTCAACCTCCAAGGTTAATTCAGTATAAAATAACAAGTATTAAAATGTACCTTTACTAGTGGTTTTATATCGCATATATCACTAATTATGAAAGAAAAGAAGGCAAATGCCCATTACAAAGCTGCACACTATGGGCATGATGATGTGGAATAAATACAAGAAATCTGGCAAAATATGAAAAACAAACAAGTTACAGGGGAACAAAAACTGAACGACCACATAAGCATAAACCAATAATATTACTGTCATATAAACTGTATGTTTTGCTCAAAAGTCTCTTAAGTACTTACAGATACACTGTGGAGGGGTGGATGAAGAAGATGGAAGGAGAATGAGGCCAATGTTCTCAATGCCAGTTAATTCCTGAGGTGGCATTATTTCTTAACTGATGCATTGATCAACACTGCAAAAATGAGATTGTGCTATGGAACAGTCCCAATATTATTATACTCCCACAATTACATTGCGGTATTCTGAAGGCAGCAAACCTAAGTGACAGTAATAGTTAAATGATGCATTTACTCTTCTTAATTTTGCTGCTACAATTAGCAGTGGGCTAGGAAATAGTTGGAAATTTAAAAGAAATCTGATCTAGGTTTATTTTTTTTTCTCCTCCAGTACTTCTTAGTTATCTCATGGCAAACGTATTATTTTATTTTCATGTACTTTATTTTTAAAAACTATTAAGTGCCAACACTGTAAACACCTTGTTTCTTTTCAACTAAATATATTTTTCAACTGAATCTTGATTGATAGGGTAAAAGCAAAGATAAGCAGGGATAATTCAGTGTATAGTAGAAGCTGACCTATCTATCAGCTTCTGGCTTCTATTTATACATGATTTTAAAATAATTTTTAAAAGTCCATGCTACAATTGGAAAGACTATTTTTGTGCACTTTTAATTCTGGACACAATTTTCAAAACTGCATGATGGAGGTAAGAATTTTAAAAACCCACCAAAATGTAAATAAGAGGGAGAACATTTTCAATGCGAAGCATCAAACATGTATTTATGTGCAGAAATCTAGACAACTATACAAGTTTTTAAGCAATCATCTGTTTTATTATACAATTCTATGAACAGAAAATGAACAGAAATACACAATATACTTACCTGTACATGTGAACCCTACATTTTTTAGCTAGAGATATTTATTATAGCTCAAACTAGCTTTAATTTTACAGTTCATAACTATGTATAACCTTATTGCGTTAAGGGCAAATTCTACATAGGGAAGTTTCACAGGCCAATCACATTCGGCATTACTAGTACATTCAAAAAACTGTACCTTATATGTAGATTATCTTTTCCCTGATCCTGTAAATCTGGGTTCTTTACAGCTTAAGCTCATTTGCTATTTTGGATGCAATGTTCTTAAAGGCAATAGACGTCCCTGATATTCGCTTGAAGCGGACCCCGTTAAGTGACAGTCGCGGCAGCTTGCAGACTTCCATCTCCCACTGCACGAGGCTATCCTGTCTAGCATCGCCATGGACACAGAAAAGCAAAAACCTCTCCTTTTGTTCATAGTCACAGTTATTTGCATCTAATACTTTTCGGATCTCTCGCATCATGTCATTGGGGTCCATTGAACTAGTGGTCTTCATGCTCCATGTGAACCGCAGAGAGCGCGGCTTGGAGTCTTTGCCCTCTTCTTTGTCTCTTTCTTTTGGTTCCCCTGATGTACTTCTGGAAGAAGAGGGTAAAGGGAAAGAATGAAAAAAGGGCAGTCAGCAAAGAAGTCAATGTTTGCACAAAATCCAAGGTCAGTGTCTAATGAAACTTCTCACTGTGCAGACTACCTTTAGATAGACACAGAGACATCAGTTACCTTGCTGTTGCAATAACAGATTGCAGTAAGGAACCCGTTTAGAGTTTTATACTTCATTCAAAAATAGAGTATTTTCTAAAATATATTTTTTTTGTTGTTACAGCTTTACAGTTGAAAGTAATATACTACTCAATTCCCTACAAACTTCTGCTGGAATGTGTGAAAGCAAACTTTCCCTTTTCTGCACATGTGTACAAAATAGGGACCACAAACATTCTGCTTGTAAAACAGGCATTGTTTTGAAATTTGAAGAAAAATGCACTTTTTTCTGCCTTTTTTAAAATAAAAGGAACACTGGAGACAAGGATATAATCAATGATTACAGAGAGGAAAAAAAGAACTATTTATAACTGATAATGTCTATTGTACTGCAATTATGTAAAAGTGTCAGGTCATGGCACTCTTCTAGATATCCTCCAACTGCTCCCTGCTTTACTCTCAAACATCCTTAAAATAGTCCACAAAGCCTCATATGACCTACCCTCCAACTCCTCTCTACAACCCACATTTTTCTGCTACCTTCCTATTCAACGGTCTCCACATTATTCCTTATTAGGGCCCAGGTGCTTCTCCCTGACAGAAATACTTTCTCTCAGCTGTATGGATAATTCTCTTATTTCTTTCAAATCTCTAATCTTTTTCCCCATGAGTTCCTATCACACCCTTAATTTACTTCTTGCTGACTCAGCTCTTTCTCCAACAGCTTTTATTACACACACACACACACACACTCTCTCTCTCTCTCTATTTGATATACTATACTATTTAATTGACTTAACTTTGTTTATCTGTTATATGAATCTATTACTAGATTAGATTTTAAATTCAGGGAAGGCAGTAATTTTTTTCTTTTGTGTTCACTGGTATGACTGCTGCTGTTGTTATGTGTCATCGAATTGCTCGTGCCTTGTAGTGACCCTGGGCACAATAGCTCTGAATGCTGCTCTATCCTGAGCAAATCTTACTGAATCTGACACAGCTACTACCCTCATTAGCCCAGTTAATGTGTCAATCCATCTCATCTGGGGTCTTCCTCTCTTGTGCTGTCCACCTTTCCAAGCATGAAGTCCTTCTCCAAGAATGTGCCCAAAGTATGTGAGATGGAGACGATTAAAACTTATTAAACGTCACTGAATTGTGACTACTACATTATCTTCTATAACTTAATATCATATCAGAAAAGCTATTTCAAATAATCATAGAAAAGGTAAAATTAAGAGTATGAATTAGAAGATTCTGTAGTTAGTTAAATTTGTAGTCATTATCCAAACATGGCTACTGCAGTTATAACTTGTTAAATCTATTTCATTTTACATATTTAAGAAACAATACACTTGGAAAATTACACATAAAAAATGAAGGTGTGTAGAAACACACACACACACACACACATATATATGTCTCATTCATATAACAGAATCAGTATGATATATATTAATACTCATGTGTGTATGTATCTCTCTTATTCCAAAGTAGTATTTGGGTTCCTGAGGCTGTTATGAAAGTATGGCAAGTATTTATTCTTTTATTGTGCAATGAAGCAAAGTCACTGCATCAGCAGTCCTTTTGGGTTGTAAACTCCACAAGTCATTCATTAGGACCACATGTGTTAATTAGATAATGGAATCCACATGTCAGAAATAGAAGGAACTTTGGAGATTACTTGACTAAAAATTCTCATTTTACAAACAAAATGTTAAGGTTCAGAAAGCTCAGATGGCTTTTATCAGGTCACAGAGCTAATAAGATGAAAAATGAAGACTTAGAAAGCAGGTAGCCTGATTCCAAGAGCAGTAGTCCTTCCATTACAGGCACACACAAGATGATCTTTTCTGCATATATCTCAAATGTATTACCATGGGTGGTAATAAATGACCAGGAGAGATCAGTTCTTGGAGAAGGATATCATGCTCAAAAGGGTGGACAGACAGCGCAGAGTCCCCAGATGAGATGGACTGATACAGTAACTGGGATGATGGGGGCTGGTGTGTCAGAATTAGTGAGACTGGCTCAGGACAGGGAAGGGCTCAGAGCTGCTGTACATAAGGTTGCTATGCATCACAGGTAATTCAACCAGTAACATTCTATGACAAGTCTGGAAGCAGGAGTGGCATTTACTTCCTCAACAACTTGCCTCCGGAAACTTTATGAATTTTTATAAATATCAATAGTTGTAGGGGACTTTAGGCCTTTTGTTCATAGGGTCAGTATGAGTCGTGCTCAACTTGAAGGCAATTAACAACAACAGCAACATTAACTGTACATAATAGAAAGCTCTTGGAAATACTGATGGTGGCTTAGTGGTAAATAGGTGCACCAGCAATCCAAGGGCATGTGGTTCAAATCCACCAGCTGCCCTATGGGAGAAAGATGGGCAATCTTTTCCTGTGTGATTTACTCTCTCTGAAAACCTGCTGCAGGATCAGTTGTGAAATGGATCCAACCTGACAGTATACAACAACAACAGCGACAGCAAACATTTGCTGAGTACTAACCAGGAGCCAGGAAGTGTTCTAAGGGCCTCATGCGTATCATTTCTTTATTTATCCCCCACTGCAATGCTATGAGGCAGGCAGAATCAGGAAATGAGGCACACAGTGCAAATTCCAGTGCTAGTTAAGTGACAGAGAAGTGTCAGGACTTTTAACCCTCCAGCCACGCCCTCACTTTGAAAAGAAGGATCTTCATTATAACTGCCTCTATGCCATCTATGCTTTTTGCTTATTCTACATCTGTAAAAGGGATACTTTTACCCAGGATTAAATGGCTAGCACAGAACCTTAGAGAGAACAATATACTCCAAAGTAAAAAAGAAAACAAAATCCACACAAAATGGAATGTGAAAAATGCTCTGCGGACATTTACACAAGATCAGTCAATAGACTCTCATGATGTTAATGTAACTGTCTCATCAAATTAAATAGATGGAAGTGCAGGTAGGTGAACTGCAGGATGAGCGGCCACTGAGGAGCCTCTGACATTCTTTGAAATGTAGCAGAAACAGAGGATGAGATAGAAAGAAGGGGCTTTGAAAGTGATGATTGAGTGAGAGAGCACTAAACACCAAAGCCTCATTTTGATTAAATAGGCAGAAAAAAGTTAAGCATATTTTTCCTGCCCACCCTTGGCTTCGCCCCTGGTGACTGAGGTACATAACTCAACAGAGAAACACTGTAACTATACAGACAAAATATAAACTAAGCAGTTTCTGAAAAGCGCTTTTTTTCCTTTTATAATATTCATTATGCTTTATATTTCAAATAATTTTTTAAAAGGTAGAAACTAAATCCGAGATTTGTAATTGGTCAAAAATACTCCCTGAATGAAGCAATGGGTCTGTCCTATTGAGGAGCTACCTGGGAAGATAAGAGGCTTTTATTTTATCTTGTAATATTTGTACATACTCAAAAGAATGTATTACTTCAATTCTGAAATTTTCCCTCATGAAATAGGGACAAAGTACCAACACATCTCCTAATAGCATCCCCAGATCAACATCACTTGGGAGAGCATTAGAGTAGGCTTTGATCGTCTAGTCCACAAGGAGCTGTGCTGCTCACCCAAAGGCACGGCCTCTCTGGTAGTTCGAAGCCACCAGCAGCTCCACAGGAGAAAGATGTGTTTTATAGCTTCCTGAAAACCTACTGTAGGGACAACTATGAGTTGGTTCTGACTCAGTGGCAATGAGTTCAGAAAGCCAGCATACACCACTGAATTAGAAGCTCTGGGGCCAGCATTCCAGGTTTTATCAAGTCCTCTAGGTGATCTGGATCATGTCGTAGTTTGAGACCCACTGGAAGGACAAATGTACTACCTATATATTACATATAAAAAAAATGTATCAGACGTTGTCTGTGACTGAATACTCACCTAGTATACAGTTCTAAAAGCCAATCTGCTTACCAATTTGCTGATATCAGCATTATGAAATTCTTTGCCACTTGACTTTAACTAACTGTAATTACATTATTTTAATGAGAAAAGGGTTGGTGTATTTTCCTCTATTAATTTTACTTATGCCAAATTAATTTCATATAACAGAATGGTTATTTCTTTATAAAAGAACATAATTAAAAATAATGTTTGGAAAACACCAAGTAAGTTAAATATATGCTAGGCAACATTATGAAAACCCATCCCAAGATAAAATTTTAACATACATATCTTATCTAGCTATTATTTGTATTCATGTTTTTAAGTGCTGTAAGAATTTCAAAGGTACGTGTTCATATCCTGGGACCTGGCGGCGAAGGATTGAGAGTGGCTCCTCACCTCGAGGTGTCGGTTCTGCCACTGGCTTCACCTTCACTTGGATCCCTCAAAACAAAGTGAAGGTTGAGATTTAATGATAAAAGTTAAAAGTAAAAAACTATACCAAGAACACCTACATCTAAAATGACTTTCAAGTTAAGTTGCTGAGAAAACTTTCTACCACGACATTTTTCTATTACTAATCCGTCTCACACTATGTCTCTTCTTTTCCATCAATCATCATTCATTGAGCGTCTACTGGGTATTATCACAGGTGAGATGCTAAGTGAAAGTTAAGGAATTTTTTTTTTTTCAAACATGATCTTCAATTTTTCCAGGCACAATTGTTTATTATGGTCATAATTTATCTTTTGGTTTAGTTTTAGTTCAACCTGAAAGAAATGGCAACAGCGAAACTTAAATTCATATTTGTTATTAAACATAATTCTAGTAGGCGCTCAATTTAGAAAGTACATGAATCTATCTTATAGTTAGATATAAAATTCAACAGAAGTATTTCTAGAAATAAGCAGCTTTAAAATAAGCAATCACTTTATTTAACAAGTTATCCTAACAATTCATGCACATGGTAAAATATTATAGCAAA